TCTCATAGCTTAGTCCAACTACGATTTCCACAGACAGGATGCTAATATTTACAAGTAGAGTACCTCATGGTGAACATTTTAGTACAAAGAAAATCAATCCATTTATAAGCTGGCCAACTAAATGGCTCTAACAACAAGAAATGGAATACTATTTGGGGCACTGGGGCATACCTACAAGCATATGTGTGTTTTAAGCAATCTTTATTTTGTGAACTATCTAATTGAGTCAATATCTAAGTTCTACTGGGTCTTGTAAATGTTTTTGGGTGTCCATGCATAATAGGCCTAATTTTTGCCTCACGTTTAGGAGGCAAGATCAAATTGTACGTGTTTACAGCTAAATTTTCTGTGACTGCATCTTACCTATTTAAGAAGGACAAAAACTAGAAATACAGAATGTTCAAGCTCATTGAATAAGAGCTAAGTATCAGATATTTAGCTTTTCCATAAAGGTAACAAGTAGTATGCTGCATATTTACTAGGCATTCCATAGGGTGTTAAGTAAGTGCACGTGTGCCCTTTTCTGTTGCTGTATTTGTAGGATATAATATTAAAATTATTTCAAATAAATGCTACACATACTCAGAAAAAGTCAGAAGATAGATTGTCCATCAAGCATCCAGAAAGCTATGTTAAGTTAAATGCTTAAGTAATTTACATGTTCATTTCCTGAACTTTTGTTTCTTTCACATGGTTACACTGGCCACATTGCACATTCATTGCAATTTAGAGCTTCTGGATAGGAAAAATAGATCATATTGGACCACTCCCTATAGCCCCCAACTTTTTGTTGAAATTTCCTATTGTTATTAAGTAAAGTTATCATTGCTTGCTATTTTCAAACCTCCTAGACCTCTCATCATATTAACAAATTTAAATACTACTGGATATTAAGGGGATAAATAATATACCCATTTTCTCCTGGAAGTTGTAACCAATGGAGAAAGACAGATGGCAAATGCAGATCTTAACTTTCCCATAGATGTGACTGATGTAATTCCTAGATTTCAGAGCTCCCTACTCAAGCTGGATCTTCCCCTTCTCTATGGGATGGCTGTGAGTCTTGCCTGAGGACAAAGAGGCAAGAAAGTGTATATAGCACCTTTGACTTCCCCTGCAGTAGGTATCAAAGTGACAGTGGACCATGTCTCCCACAGGAAGTCAAAATGACCAGCTTTCTGTGGGGGACCTAGCCCATGCCCAACATGCCCTCTAGCATCTTCCTTCAGGAATATAGAGACAGGCAGAAATCCCTCCCATCAGTTCCTTAAAAGTAAACACACAGAGAGAAAGAAAGTGACTATCCCTCCTCCATTAACTATCTTCTCCAAAATTTTCATTGTAATATTTGTACATAGAAAGTCATGCATAAAAATGTAGACATCAGTAATGCTAAATACATTGTCTTCTTATCAAAATCCTTTATCGTGGTTAACAAAGTATGTTCATGTAAGCTATTTTTCAGGCATGACTTTTTGGTTTATCTTTTTGACATACACAATTTTAAGTTTTAAAGTATATTAATGAGCATAAAGATAGAATTATATATGCTAAATTACTTTTAAATTTGTAACAGCCTTAAATATTTTGGTTATTTTGAAAGGAATCTAGTTTTATTCTCTCTGTGGAACAGAACAGGTTAGAATTGAGCAAGCGGTAGGCCACTTTGATGCTGAGGCTACTTAGGTATATTAAATCATGAGAAGAGAAGATGAAAGGTACCCTAGAAACGACCCCATCCAATCTTATTTCACAAATGAGTTAAGCGGGAGAAAGAATAATTGACATGTCTTCAGTCACAGACGATCTTAGCAGTAGAATTGGGGTTAGAATAAAAGATTTTTGATCTTCAGGTCAGTGTTATTTGTGCCATGCTGGGCTGATATTTTAGGACAAGACTATAATTCAGTGTTTTTAGCAGTTATTGATCTGAGTGCACATTGTAGTTCAAAATGTAAATAATATTTAGATGCATTGTTTTCCCAAGTGATTACAATTAATTAGGAACCCATCAGGGGACATAATTTTTTGGTGCTATTCCATCTGGAATTCCTTTGTAAGTTAATTATGCTATTATGTACTTCAGTGAACTGTAACCCATATTTAATAAATCCATATTTCATTGAAAAAAACATGAAAAGAATAAATACTAGATAAATCCATTATCAGTCAAACAAATGGCTTTTAAAAGTTCATTTCAGTCCTAGAATATTAAGACTTTCATTATAAATGTATTTCGTATTGTTGATACACTTTGCCCAGATTTTTACAGATAAAACAAAGGAGAAGTTTGAAGTAATAATTTATAATATTTATGCCTGAGCTAAGTAACTGAAAACACTAGTACAAAATCTCATGATAGAAAGAATGGTTTCCATTTTTGATACTGTATGTAACATTGAATACTGACTGATTAAATGGCATTGTGTAATGTTTTGCCACATTTAATTTAATCCTCAAAATTGGCAGATGTAGTCTGGATAACTGAGGAAAGTGTATCTTGCTATAACTCCTTCAGTTAATCTTTCCTTTATATGGACAAAGGAGATGTGGCTGTTGCCACCATAGAACTACTCCAGATCCTTTCTAAATAATTCTGATTTTATACAAACTTTGTAAGTTTATTTTAACGTAATTCTAGATGAGTTTATGTAAGATGGCTTTGTTTTCCTAATTTAAAACATCTTCTGAGAACCAACAAATTTCTGTTGAAGGTGACTGCCATGGCTTCATGGGACAAAAATATTTCTAGAAGTGTTCATCCATTATTTTAATTTTTGCATGTTTTATTTCAAAGTCACTAAAATAATTTCTCTTCACTTAAATACATTGTTATATTAAATAAATATATGTATCCCATTACCCTTGTGGAAAATTTAGGCTTTCAGTGTTGTAAGTTTAGCAGATTTGTGAGTTTGCTTAAAAGCTTTATAACTCACAGTGAACTCATGGCCATCAACCCTAATGTAGGTGAGTCTTGCTTAGCTCCGTCCAACCTGATAGAGGAGAAAGTCACCAAAAGAATGATAAAATAAAGGAGACTATGAAAAACAGGAGCACAGCGATCAGCGGGACATCGATACACTTTCATATGGGGAGTTCCATGTGAATTTGAGTAATTATAAAATTGTCACTTTTTGTGTAATTTCTAACCTTCTAAAATATACTACTAACCACTCACTAGTCACAATTTGAATAATTTTTTTTCAGATAGAATAATATGTAAATATTTAAATGATTTAGGAAATAATGTCATGATACAAACTATAAAATTCAATTAAAATCATTCATTACAAAGGAAAAACACTTCACTAAATGACATTTCACTAGGGAAAAATTTTGAAAGCATTTTTTTTCTATATTGATTTATAAGAATTACAAATGTTCTCTTTTTCTGTTTTTGTACCTTGTAACTTGTTATAAAACAGATTACCGGGGCGCCTGGGTGGCGCAGTCGGTTAAGCGTCCGACTTCAACCAGGTCACTATCTCACGGTCCGTGAGTTCGAGCCCCGCGTCGGGCTCTGGGCTGATGGCTCAGAGCCTGGAGCCTGTTTCCGATTCTGTGTCTCCCTCTCTCTGCCCCTCGCCCATTCATGCTCTGTCTCTCTCTGTCCCAAAAATAAATAAACGTTGAAAAAAAAATTAAAAAAAAAAACAAAACAGATTACCATTTCAGGGATGCCTGAGTGACTAAGTTGGTTGAGTGTCCAACTCTTTATTTATTTTTTTTAAGTTTATTTATTTTTTAGAGTGTGCAAGAGAGCAAGCAAGAGTGGGGGAGGGGCAGAGAGAGAGAGAGAGAGAGAGAGAGAGAGAGAATACCAAGAAGGCTCCCCACTGCCATTGCAGAGCCTGACACAGGGTTCCATCTCATATAGAGAGAGTCTATGGCTCCATCTCATAGAGTCTCTGACTCTGACTCCACCTCATAGAGTCTATGGCTCACTCTTGATTTCGGCTCAGGTCATGATCTCATGGAGGTGAGATGAGCCCCGTATTGGGCTCCCTGCTGGATGTGGAGCCAGCTAAGACTCTCTCTCTCCCTCTCTGTCCCTTCCCCACTCATGTGCACACACTCTCTCACAAAGATATGTATTATCATTTTAGAGTTGATTTATCATTGGCAGGTCCACAGATGCTTGGCTTAACTTCCCCATACAGCTTTAAAGATGAAAATGTCAATCTATATGGTAACTAATATAAATGTATATTAAATCTAAGGCTTATTTAAATTTTATCCCACAATTCTTTCCAAAGAATAAGCTATACATCAATAACACCCTCATCATCAATTTAAACACCTTCATTTTTTGAGAAAAATTACTTTTTTCTTAATTTATTTCATTGGACCATCATATGCTATATTTTCATAGCAGTCCTATGTAGCATAGTCAAATTATTTTTTTATCATAGTTTGTTTCCAGTTCATACCAACTAAAATTTACTTCTCATATTATTATATTATTTCTACTACCAAAGACTCAAATGATATAAAATATGAAGGCTCCTTGGGAATTATTATACTATCATATGGTTTGACCCTTAAAAATTACAGTACAATATTAGACATTATTAATTTTGGTAAATTGATTTGAATAAATAATTGGATGATATTAGCTTTTAAGGTATATTAATCACATGGCTCCTTGTTGCTGTGAAGATGACCTCTAGGAAAATCAATGGACTATGGTAGACTACAATTTCGGTAGTCAGTATGAAGTGTCCCCAGTTACAACCAGATAGGGTATTTTTGTTCACCTATCCTTTACTAAAACTGATGTTTGTACTTAGGATTTGGAGGATGCCATTATATGATTATATTGCATTACAGAATTTTGAATATCAATGGCCTCAATTTGCTTCCTTTTATTTAAAATAGTCTAAAGAACCAGAATTGAAAGGACTTTAGGAGGTAGTAGTACCACTTCTTCCTTTTACTTTTTGTCAGTTACTAGCAAAACTGGTAAAATGGAAGGTTTTTTTTTTTCCCCTTCACAGGTTTGGGATGAAAATCTTGCAAAATCTGCAGAGGCTTGGGCAGCTACTTGCATTTGGGACCATGGACCTTCTTACTTACTGAGATTTTTGGGCCAAAATCTGTCGGTACGAACTGGAAGGTAGGAAGCAGTTTCACTGATACAGTTCATCCACATGGTTTATTACTTACGAATCCCAAGGGGTAGTGACACCAATTTCAAGTAATATCAGCAAATATTTATTGAGTGCTCATTATGTGTCAAGCAATGATGCTTGGCCTATGACTGTTTCAGATGTCTTCAAGGATTATTTATTTGGTTTAAAGGGCCTAATGAGACCAGTTTCCTATTTCACCTTTGGAACACCATTCCTTGGCTGTATTCTTCACTTACCTCACACAGTCTTTGAAAGGATTAGATGTGTGCTATATCCTATATCCTCAAGAAAAGTTTTGACTGTGGCAGAAGCCATTTTTGTGTTTATGCAACTTTTCCATGATTGCATATATCTGTATGTGTATGCCTGTGTGTGTTATACAAAATATTTATATTTACATGTATATATATATATATATATATATATGCAAGTATGTGCAGCTATGAGAAAGGCTGTCCCCAATGAGAGGATAACTTTTCCACCACTGTGGAATGCCATCATCCAACATTTCAAAGACCCATTCTCTTCCATATATAGGAGAAAAATCAGGTGTGCTATTATTACAATGAAAGTAATTCAAGTTTAAGGGAAAAAAAAACCGCACTAAGTTCTAGTATCACAACTACATTTGCATATCTAATTGTTAATTATATATATGATTCTGGTGGGAGAAATTTTTGATATAGATAAAACAAGATAAAGATGAAGATTCTTGAAATATTTGTACTTCGTTTTTTGAAACAACCAGACATACTCTTAAGTGAGTATGGGCTCACCTGCTTTGGTCCCGGGTATTTTCATGCTTGGCCCTACTTGGAGGAATAGAGGATTCTGCTAGGTGGTGATGGTAATTATGAGGCATGGATTTCCTCTTCACTCAGCATGTATAATCAGTAAAAAAAAAAATAATAACTTATAATTTAACATGAGTCCACTATATATTACCACTACTGTATTCTAAGTTGTCGTTGTTTTTCTTGATATCTAGATATCGCTCTATTCTCCAGCTGGTCAAGCCATGGTATGATGAAGTGAAAGATTATGCTTTTCCATATCCTCAGGATTGCAACCCCAGATGTCCTATGAGATGTTTTGGCCCCATGTGCACACATTATACGCAGGTTATTTCAATTGTCTTGTTAAGTTTTGATTCATAGTTTTAAAAACGCTCTGCTGTTTTGGGGAATATGCCTTTTCTTAGCTTTAACTTCAGTAATGACATATTGGTTTATTTTTGCAGATGGTCTGGGCCACCTCCAATCGGATAGGATGTGCAATTCATACTTGCCAAAACATGAATGTTTGGGGAGCTGTATGGCGACGCGCAGTTTACCTGGTGTGCAACTATGCCCCAAAGTGAGTACTAGGCTGGATTCTACTTCCTGGAAACTTTAATGATGTTAAATATCTCCAGTCAGATAATTGTTTTAATATGAATAAGACTTAACTACAATAGTCTCTAATTCTCAAATCTCCCTTCACCCCAGTATATCTGAAAAATACTGAGATGAACGATTATTTTTCACAAAGACTGGTATTTGGGGCTAAAATTGTAGGCAAAGTAATTTGAGGTATGGAGATTCACTAAATTCCCTTCACCATCTTTTTTTAGTGATGATAACTGTAAAATAAACACTGTACTTCCAGGCTTTCGATAGCTCTATAAAAGTTATCAGAAAAGAATCTCATAGGGACTTTATCAACACTGCAATATTCCCATCTATCAGTACTAGAATGTTAGCTTATTTTTTTAACTGGGAAAGCAAAAGAAAGCCCTTCTTCCTTCTTTCTTTTAAGAATAAAACTAAAAGTTACGGTTTACTAATTTTATAGATGGCTAAGGAGTCATTTGTTACTGGAAGGGAAAATTTAAATGCTATGACTTCTTTTTAAATGAAAGCTTTGTCATGATTTAAGTTTCAATATTGAAAGTTTAAAATTTTTTCATTAGTTCTATCTTATGGAATACATAAAAATGTATTGTGAAAGTTGATCAAGGATTATAAAATATAGTCATATTTATAAATATTCTTTACAAGATGAGAATAAATAAGCCTTTGTTAACATTTGATAAAATGCCTTCTTGATAACAATAATTCTTCAGATGATAAAATGTTCCAGTATTTATACATGAGTCTGTTCCCATTTGGAGTAAATACCAAAATGTGCAAAGGATTTATGACACTCTTGGTGTCTTCCAAAGTAAGTTCCAAACAAAGATTTTTTCTGACTTTGCCAATATGGGGAGGGAATGAGAAAACGTTTCACAAATAACTGCATTACTCATTTATATGGTAGTATGCCAGTTGCAGTGTTTTTGCAAAGTTAGAAAAATAGTGATTTTCCCCATGGTCCCCCTTCACAATTATTAGAATAATAAGGTTTGGAAAGTAAAATGTGTCTGCATTACCAAAAGCATTAAAATTGTGCATTTGCTGGATATTTTCAGTTTCACACTTTATATTTTCCTATTAATCCTTTACCCTTCTTCCTGACATAAATAGGCCAAGTAGTGCTCATATGGTAAAAGAGATTTGTGTTTCAATTGTTTGACTGTTCTGTTTTTAGAATTTTCTAGTATTACTGATGAGATATCTGATTGTTTTATGGGTACAAGAGATTAATATATTGTGTTAATATGCTTTGTTATGAATAAGAACCACTATTTTGAAACCTAGGCAATGAAGAAAGTTGTAAATTCCTAATATTTGAGTGTGAATTTTCCAATGCCAATATAAAGTTATCTCATGCCTGTTTTTGGGGGGTGGGGGAAAGAGAGAGAGAGAAAAAGAGAGAGAGAGAGAGAGAGAGAGAGAGAGAGAGAGTTGGAGTGAGAGAAGGAGACAGGGAGGGAGAATTTAATTAGATGGAATAGGAAACAAAAAATAAAAGGATGAATAATATACGTTTATTAGTTGACTGATTTACTATTGAATGTAATTATCCTCTATTTGGTAAAAATCTGTGATTTATATAAAAGTTTGTAATGTAATATGTAATACTTTTTACATGCAATATAATTATATTTCTAAGTTTATGTTACCAAAAATATGTGCTATATAATTTCCAAAGGTATGTATAATAAAGAGAAAGATATGAAATCAAAATAGCATATGCTTGGTCCATATACATTTATAGCTTTGGGTAAAGATACAGAGGGAAATAAGATTATGAATATAAAATAGGAGAGATTAGGATAGAAGGGTGAGCTACACTCATAAGAGCATGAGCTTCTTGAGTGTTTCTGGGTAAGCATGTGACATTGTCAAAATTATACTCGAGGAAGCTTATCCAGAGGGCAGAGTATAGAAAGAACTAAACAGAGGTGGACACTCTTGGAATCTGATGACATTCTGTAATATGAATAGCTAATCAGCATGTTTTTTATATTTATAGATAAATTTCCCTCTATAAATATTTTATAGATCAAAGCCTGAATTTTTAAATGACTGATTTCAGCAGATAGTTTATGTAGGTACACTTTAAGGGTCACTGCTTGGTCTTCTTTAGGTCTTAAAGAAGATGAGAACCACCTGTTTCATATTTTAGCCTCTTACCTACTGTTGTCTTATATTTAACCCTGATTTTTACTATTGACAGGCAACCAAATTTTCTCCTGACCATTCAATTTCCTTCAAATTGCTGGCTATCTTGCTATTTCTTAGTACTCTAGGTACCATGCTACTGAAAATAAATCTATTATTTTCTTCATAAATGAACAGTAAGGCATTATGGCTATTTTTAACTGTCATGAGTGATGACTTTAATGTATTACTATTATCATGGCTATCAATACAGATAAAAATATTGATAACACAAAACAATTTAGTCTGTTTAGCCTTATCAAAAAACAAACTGTATTACTAAGAATGAAAGCTATGAGTTTACACATGACAAAAGGTTTTGAAATCACCTTTAATTGCTTCTCTGAGCCCTTAATCTCTTACCATGAGAATGGAGTTTTCTGTATCTCATTTTATAAATGTTGAGAACTTAAAATGTTTTACAACTTTAGAAACGAATCTTGTGAACCTCTATTTTTTGTGCTTATGACAACTTCAAGCTCACCTCAACATTTCTAAGCCTCCCAAAAATACTAAGTACATGTATATATTATCATCCTTAACATTAGTGGGAGTTTTGAAAATGGGAGTATGTCCTGCCAATGTGCTCTAGAAGGCAGTTAGTTATAGGACAGAGACAGATGTGGTGACTGAATAAGCATCGAGCCTTGCTTGACATTAATTATGTCACTATTCATTGTAGTGCTTTACTTCTAGTCTGTAAATTAAGATAATATTAATTTTTGCAGAGAGAAAGATTTAAAAAGTGAGATTTAGAGAATAATACATTGCTGTATAAATAAGAAATGGATACAATTTTCAGTGCCCTCCTAAACTGATTAAACTTCTCAAAAAAGATCATTACATGTCAATACATGTGATCATGTGCTTAAGGACAATCAAATTGTTCTAAATGGGCATTAATATAGCACTTATATGTTTTTTTTCTTCTTTCTAGGGGCAATTGGATTGGAGAAGCACCATATAAAGTAGGGGTACCATGTTCAGCTTGCCCTCCAAGTTATGGAGGATCTTGTACTGACAATCTTTGTTTTCCAGGAGTAACATCAAACTACCTATACTGGTTTAAATAAGCTTATCTTTTCCTTCAGGAAATAGAATGGTTTCTGGGAATAGGCATATATATATATTGAGTTTTGCACATAGTATACATATTTTATAATAATCTTGTTTTCCTTTTATTATTCATTGTATAAATTTGTGTTTGTCTAGTATGTTTGCTTCATCTTGAAGTAACCAAAACATCCATTTCTATCTTCTGATCTCTAAGCCCAAATTAAAATATTGTAGATATAGTATTGACATAGTTGATGCATCCAATCCCAAAACTTGCTTTCCAAAGGAATTATGTTATGTTTGTAAGGAATAAAATATATACTTGACTTATATGTGTGCGTGTATATAGATACATATATACACATATGTATATTTATATACATGCACACACATATAATAGATTATGTAACGCAGACAATAACGTGATTCAGTACTGAGGGAAATTTTTAAAAACACTATTCTGAAATATATATGAGGTGGTGGGACATCTTCAGCACCCATTTCTATAATTCCTACAAAGTGATAAATTGCAAATAATACTCAGTGATATCTGGACATAATAATTTAATTGATCACCCAAGATTTCATTCTGGAGGTATATTTTGTCTTATTTGGGTTCACCAAAGGATATGCTCAACTTATGTAAGTGTCAAATCATGCTTTTTGTTTAATCACTTTTATTGAATCAGTAATCATGTGTCGAGTGCTTACTGTGTGCAAGGCACTCTGCTCGTTATGTTCTGAAAATGCAAAGATAACGAGATACAGTTCCTGCCTTCAAGAAGCTCACAAAAATATTCAGAAAATAATGCAGTTTAATGATTTTGCTATAAATTTACAGTTTTTTTTAAATTGATTTTAATGTAAGTTTGAGGAAGTAGATGCTACCATGCTCACCTGTTGGGGGAATAGGTGATAAGACACCCTCTATAATATGTGAGGCTTCTGATTAGCATGAAAATGTAGCTACAATGCTTGGAACTAAAAGAGGCAGGACAAGAATTAACTGCCCAGGGATTACTGTATTAGAGTAAATAGTTGTGACTTTGGAAGACAGAAAACAAAACGCGAAAAAAATTCTGAGAAAGCCCAAGAGAATTAAGGTATGAAAAGTCACAGAAAAACAGTTACTGCACAAAAAAATATAGGCGGAGAGCTTCAGAAGGGCCTATCCTGAGAGTGTAGCATATCTTGAGGCCCGTCAGCAGAGGGTAAAGGATGCCAGAAAAAAAACAAAAACAAAAACAAAAACTGGAGAGATGCCAGGACACTTCTGTCTCTTTATGTCATTATTTGGTGAGAATCAATCCAATCACCATGAGCCTTTGAGCATCACATTAAAGATCCTGCACGCACACCATAGTTATGGCTTTGCAGAGTAGCCCTCTTCAGATGGTTCGCTAAGGACTACTTACCAAATCTTATTTCTATGTCTGTGAAGAAGAATAATTTTCAGTCCTCCATTAAGTTTGATTGTGGAAGTCCAATCAAAGTCACTATGAAAATTTCACTCATAAGATTTTGGAAATGCGGTGTTTCCTCATTCAGGAAACCGCTTTAGAGAGAAAAAGTCAACATCTGGGTCAAGACACTTATATTAATTTCATGTGTGTGGTGGGAGTGAGTGAGTGAGAGAGACAGGGAGAGAAAGAGATTCAAGTTATGTAAAGCTTCCATAGAGTTACAGAGTAAGCAAACAGCGTTAGTTCCAGAGTGCAAATAACAGAAGGAAGCTACTTGTTTAAAATTCTCTACACATTTGCAGTTTCTTAGGGTGGATGCACTGAAAGATGAGTTAATTAAATCCATTCAATGAGGGAAAAATCCACCATCTGGAGTTTAGGTTTACATGATGACAAACAATTGGCCTGATTCCTTTTACAAATTGAATGTGGTGACCAAATGTTTTCATATCATAATATTCTGCTTTTGTGGGCACATATGTAGACTTTACTAAACATAAATATGTTTGGAGACTAAAATGGAGAACAGAAGTAGTTGTAAGACTCGGCCCCCGGTCTAACTTTTATCTAACTAAGGGCAATTGGAGCAAAAAGTAATTAGTGGGATGTTTACTTGATTTATCTAGGAAGTATTTCCATCCTTCATTTTCCTATATTAGTTCTACGGAAGTAGCAAAAGTACTATTAAACAAAGAAGACTGTTCTTAGTTCCAGTTCTGTTGCTGGACTACTTGTGTGGCTTGGTTTCTCAGTTCTGAAAAAGAATAATGATATTTGCTACACATTTCACAGAGATTCCTAGGAGGCTAAAATTACCATATTAATAGAAATTAATGAATATGAAAAGCATCATTAACATTATGAAACTTATTTGGGATAAAATTAAGTCTTATGAGCTTCTCTTTGGCAGAAATTTTGTCTGATTCTTTGTGTTCATCCCAGTTTCTTATATAGTGGCTATAATACAGTAAGTGTTTAATGAATGTGTCTACAAATATATTTTTAGAATTAACTAAAAAGTCTAGAATTGCAACAGTGTAGAGGAGTCCCACCTTTCCATGTTTTATTAAAACAAAAAAAAATGTCTTAAATACAAAGCTCTGAATGCATCAAAAATCCAGATAAATCATCAAACATACCAGATGAAGACTAGGGTCTCTGCATGTATAACTCATACCACAGTCCTTTCCAAATCACAACTAGAGCTAGACATTTATTTATAATTTAACTACTCAGCTGAAAATATAACGGGTATTTTTGTTATGCTATCTGTACTTCTTAAAGTTAGTAATATAAAGTAGCCATGTGAAATGTTTCATTTTCCAGGCTAAAGCAAATGAAAATTTGCTGGTGTCAACACCATGTGTCATATTTTTCACAGCATTCAACCGTGGTGCTAAGAGAGCTATTTCTCGCTGTAATTCCCAGGGGCAGAAAGAGTCTGGGTAGAAGATATTTCTTAAGAGCAGCTTTAAATAGTCAATATTGAGGTTTTCATTTCAAATGATTTCATTCAAAAGAAGTCGCATCCTACATATTCTACATCCTACATATTCTACGTATTCTTCTGATCCTCTATGGTATAGATTTTTTATCACCCTTTATTCAGTAAAAAAGTAAAAAATTTCTGTCACAGTATAGATTTTTTTTGGCTTTCATGTCATCAGAAGACTGGAAAATGACAATTTTAGATGTTACTCTGATGGATTTCTTTATAGAATTGTATTTGAGGACTTGTGTAGGCACAGTCTTAATGTCCCTGGTGAGGACAGATCACCTTTTCAATCTGCTTTTCAAATGTGGTGGGAACAGTTTTTATTATTATCATTTTTGTTTCTGTTCAGTAGCCTAAGCATTGGGACTTCTGTGGTCCTTGAGGGGATCCCTACTGGCTTCGTTTGGCTGTGGCGCCATAATGTTCCCTTGAAACCTTTGTGGAAATGTTCCTTTGGAAGCTCTGTGCAACTTCAGCACAGAGCTGACCAAACACTAAGGCAAGTTCAACTACTACAATTTATTCCAACTATTTGAATTGAAACAACATGCATTTTTCTCATTAACACATGTGTTAAATCAACTTATAACATTCACCTAAGCAAATCTAACACACAGTTAGGCCAGTTGAAGTGTTTTGTGAAATGCTTATGAAATGAATATAGAAGCTAAACAGATCATTTGAATGTGTCCAGGAAGGAAAGTAATGCTCAGCCTGTGGTATATGTTCTCCCCCTTGTATAACATCATTCCTTATGTTCCTCAGTATCATAGGATGCAAATCTAGACATAAATGGAAGCCTTTACCTACCAAAGTGTTTAGGGAGAGTAAAGTTAGATTTCTATCAATGTCTAACAGTATATTTGACTATATATATATATATATATATATATATATTTTTGTATCGTCATTATATGTGTGGGGAAAGGCATATTTAAACCCATGCAAAATGACTTTTTAAAAGTTATGTCATGATATAATTTTGACTTATGAGAAGTCAATCAAAACCTTAGGAAGTTTAACAATTCACTCATTAATGGTGCTGAAAATCTGTTAAACCACCATATCCTTACTACAATTTTGAGATTTCTTTTTAGTTAAAGTTTTTATTAAGTGTGAACTAGCAATATCGATTCTGGTGCTAAATATATGGTGCTAAATGAATTGTTAGTGTTAATAGCTTCAGTAATGCTCTTTTTATTCATTGTTAAAAGTATTATCCATTTAATTCCTGATTCAGATATATTAATAAAATCCTGTTACCCATAAATAGGCCAGTGAACTCCTTTTTGTCTGACAGTCCAACATTATTTAGATTTTACAGAATTTAAATACATATCTTTAGAGGTTATCAATTTTCTTTTTAAGGCCTTTTTTAGCTTGGCCACATCCAAGTCCAAATACTACCTGAAGGTTAGATCACACCTACATCAACCATGCTGTAGGCACTGGCGCCCTCTGGTGATTATGAAAATAAATTTTTGATGGCTGCTTGGCCTGCAAGAAAAAGCCAGTGTTTTGTTCAAAAAAATTTGAAGTTGCACAGTATTAGAATTCTTGGATACTTCTTAAATCTGACAGCATTTGAAAATTCTTGCCTTTATTGACATAATTTTCTAAGAGGATCAAAGAGAGAATATATCTTGGCATTCACTTTCCTAAATAATGTTTTTTAATGATATTTTAGTTCTGAGGTGCTTATCGAAGTGTTTTTTTTTAACTAAGTATTGCTAAAGTATATTTTTCATTTAGTTTACATCATAAATACAATTAGAATTAAAATTAACAAAATTATAAGTGTGTCTCATTTCAGAAGTGTTTATTTTTATTTGGCATAGTACATAAGATTGAAAGGAGATGTGTTAAAATAATTAGATTATCTCTCCATTTTTACGTGTTGGTCTAAAATTTGATAGTGTTCTTTGGTCATAGTATTTAGCTAATGATAAAATTGTATTATTCCCTTCAAAGTCCTTGTAGTCTAACAAATATACATAAAAGCTTAGAAGTTTATCACCTGATATAATTAATGAAGACAAAATTCTTAGGTAAACTTCTG